AGATGGGGAGCTCAGGAGGAGAGAAGGGTGCTGGCAGACACAGATGCAGATGGATGGCATTGGGATGGTGGCTGCCTCTGGAAGTCCTCTTCTGCCTGCTCTTCTTCTCAAGGTCATTAGTTGACAATGAAGTTGGAGGAGGGGGCGTTGGCGGTTTGAGGAGAGGAAGTGTGAAAACTCCCAGGACAGTGCAATGGCGAAGGGTCGAGGAAGCCGCAGAATGATTGCTGGGTTTCCATGTGAGATCAGGATCGTGCATTTAAAGTAAGATCAGTCAGCGGGTTGTGTGTTCCTCCCGCTTCACCCCGCTTCCTGTGTGCAGGGGTGGGGTAGGAGGAGACGCTGAATCTAGCCGGGCTTGTGGCTTAGTGAAGGGGGAGGGTGTCAAGGCAGTGGAGGGTGCAGACGGGGTGGTGATAACCACTGCCACAGAATTCGAGCTGGGCATGGAGGGAAGTGGCACATGGCAGTGACGGACAGTAAAAAGCTGGTAGGACCCGCAGGTTGAAGGTCCTCTGGGCTTCGAGAGTCCCTGGGGCTGGGGTGTTAGGTCCTTGGGAAATGGAGGTCTGTGGGCAGAGTGTTGAAACCTCGACTGTGGACAGATTGCGGTGATGTAGAGATTTAATACTAGGAAATAAACTCTGGGCAGGCCAAGAAAACATACCTACATCTTGAACTTAGCCGGTTTTCTAGCTGTGTCTGTGGTGGCTTTGCCTGTTCCGATGTCTCCATTTCCTCCAGTTGAGGCTCCTCATCATCATTCTGGGTCCACCTTTCTCACCTGCCGTCTCTCCCAGACTCCAGAGCTGCCTGTGCCCGCCCCACTGGGCTCTGCAAACTTGTCACCTTCCCACAACCTGCTCTTGCCACTGTTATGTCCCAGGGGTGGCATCTTAGCTGCCCAAGGCAGATCCTGGCTTCCACCAACACACAAAGTCCATCCTGTGCCCAGTTCCTGCTTCCTCCCACATCTCTTCATTGGGTGATGACCGTGACATCCTCTGGCCCAGAGGTCTCACTGGTCTATACTTAACGGGCTGCTGGAGTGACCTTTATACCACCCAAATTTGACGACATGACCTCCTTGCTTAAAACCTTTGAATGGTTCCTCCGTGCCAGACTCCTTACCTGGGCACACAAGGCCTGGTTGCTAGGCAGGGTTCTCCAGAGAAACAGAAGGAATAGACTGTATATAGATGCAGAGAAAGTGAGTTATCAGGAGAGATCGGCTCGTGTGATTATGGAGACAGAGAAGTCCCACAGTCTGCAAGAAAGAGGCCCAGGAAAGCCAGTGGTGTAGTTTCACCTAAACCTGAAGGCCTGAGAGCCAGGAGTGCCAGTGGCGTAAATTCCAGTCCAAGCCTGAGGGGCCAAGAACCAGCTGTGGTGCAGGGAGAGTCCATGTTCAAGGGCAGGAGAAGATGAACGGTCCAGCTCCAGCAGAGAGAGCAGCATCCCCCTTCCTCTACCTTGTTCTACTCAGGCCTTCAGCAGATCAGGTAATGCCTACCCACATTGGTGAGGATGATCTTCTTTCTTGAGTCTGCTGCTTCCAGTGCTAATCCACATACTTAGAAAGAATGTTTTCTCAGCTATCTGGGCATCCTTAGCCCAGGCAAGTTAACAGATTAAAATTAACCCTCACAGCCCCCACTTCCCACTCAATACCCAGGCCCTGCAAAGTCTACAGTCACCTGGCTACCTCTGAACATGCTTCTCCCATACTAGGCTTGGCTGTTTGTTGATGGACTGTGTCTCATCCTCTATTTTGCACAGTCTCACAATTAGTAGAAACTCAGCAAATACAGGATCGATTGAAGAAAAGCATTGAGCTTGAGGTTGGAGGACATGGAATTTAAGCCCTCTATGGCTTACTCAAGGCAATTCCCTTTCCCTTTCTGGGTCTCAGTTTCCTGGATTGTACAATGGGGCTGACTTCTGGCCTGCCTGTTGCACAGGGCAGTGATGGGGGTCAGGTGAAGGCTCAGGAAATGTGAAAGTCATGTCCAGGTCTGTCTTAGGTTGGCCCAAGGGAATAGTCTCCAAGGTGGAGGGCTATGAGTAGATGACTTATTGGCGTCAACATAGGAGGGGGGAGTGAGGGAAGAAGGGTTGGGCAGAGAAGGGGCTGAGCTGTGATGCAGTCATGACAGAGGCCCCAGCTGGTCCCTTAGGAGCTCCATAGCTGGGGCGGCCCTAGAGTCAGTCCAAGTTGAGGCAGAGGGGCAGGTGTGTGTTCCTCCCCTCTGTCAGTAATTGAATATGGGTTACCTTTCGGGGACGGTGTGACCCTGATCAAGGCAGCATCCTTAAACTGAGAGCAGCTCCCAGAAAGAGTCTCAGCCATAAGCAGCCAACACTCCCAACAGCTAAACCACTGGTCTAATCCTGGGAGCCTGGGCAGCCCACCACAGCACCCACAAGCTGTGGAGCTTTATGGCTGTCAGCAAACCCTAGAACCAGTAGCAGGGATCTGTGTTACACATTCAAAGTCTCTGCTCCTGCCTTAATGACCTGCCTTCCTGCCCTACACATTCCTGCCCCCTGTCCTCGCTCACATCACTCCAGCCACACTCCGCCCCTTGCTGTTCCTCAGATGCTCCATGCACAACCTGTCGCTGGGCCTTAGCCTCTGCCATTCCCTCTGCCTGGAACGCACTTCCTCCAGATACCACATGACTCATTTTCTTACCTTCCTCTGAGTCTCTGCTCAAATATTTACTCAAAGTGGGACTTTCCGTGACCCCTGGTTAAAAAACCACCTTCCATCACTCTCTGTCCCCTTGCCCTGTTTTATTTTTCTCCCAGTATGTATTACTGTCTGTTACATATTTTTTTGTTTTTCTGTTGATTTTCTCTTCCACAAGAAGTTATGCCTCTCTGGGGGTGCGTCCCATGGGGATGGATCGGGGGCCCCACCCACTCATGCCACAAGCTCTGTCTCCAGCCCAATGCTGTGATGGCAGCTTGCTCCGTGCTGCTGCTGAGTGGTTACAACCTTTAGCTAAAATGGTGCCGACTCCACTGGTCTTGGCTTGTCAGTCATTGACTGGCTTTGTCCTTCAGCAGACCTGTGTCACGCGTGTTCTGGGTGCCAGGACCCCAGGTGATTGGTGGGGAGGGAGGTGGAGGCAGATTCGTGCAGTCCCTTACAGGAAAGCAGCATTCGTGAGCCAGGCTCAGAGCTGGGCACCAGACTTTGTCCTGGGGGCTCATTTGTTTGTCCAGCAGACACCCTGTGCCCGCCTGTAACTGGACCTCAACACCCATCCACCTAATGGTTACTCAGCCTCCCCTTTCTAAGTGAGGGTCTCTGCTTTGGGGTGTTTCCCCTTTTCTGATCTGCCTTGACCCCGGCCCCCTTCTGCTCTCAGAGCCCCCGCCCCGCCCGGCATTGTGTTCGCTCCCAGGCATTTGCACTCGCCTTTCTCCAGCAGGCAGAGCGGGCATTGTGCCAGGAGGCCTGAGTTCCCACCTCAGTTCCACCACATCCCAGCTGTGTGATCCTCAGCAAATCACTCCACTTGCTCTGAATCCTTGTGAAGCTTCCTGACTTTCCCTCCCCTCCCCCAAACCAGAGGTGATAGCACCCTTATGACACCTCCCACATTATTTTCTTCACCTCTCTTGTGGCCCACCCTGAATGGCAAAATTGCACAGTAGTAAGGAAGGAGATAGCGCTGGCTGTCATCCTAATTGGTCAGCCTTGTCAGAGTGGGGACTACAGTACATCTGGTGCAGTCAGTCCTGGCCAGCCAGACCACAGGCTTCATATGGCCAGGTCTTTCTGTTAGTTTTTCAAGAGAAATTACACATGCAGATTTGCCCATGAAGCCATCCACTTCAAAATATTAGCAACAAATTCGGTAATAATAATAATTTAAAGATCACTGTGGGAACCAAATAAAATACATTGAAAGGCCTATTTGGCCTTGGGGCTCCCAGCTTCTAGTGGCTGCATGAGCATCACAGAGTGTGGGCTTGAGTCCCAGCGCTGTTCCTTACTTCAGCCTTGACCTTGGCCAGGTGCAGTCTCCTCTCTGTACTTTAAGTCCCTCGCCTGTGAAATGAATGTGGTAATAGCTAACATTTGTTGAGTACTTCCTGGGTATCAGGTGCCATTCCTTCTATGCATTATCTCACGGTAATCCAATGGAGTGAGGACTGTTACTAGCCCAGGGTGTGGGAACTGTGTGTTAGCCCAGGCAGTCTGCTCTAGAGGCCTCCCTGTTAACGGCTAGTCTGGCCAACTTTGTTGCCAGGATCAAGTAAGAGTCCTTACATAAGACCCTTGTCACATTGCCCTGTGCAGCATAAGCCTGCAGAGTTGGCAAGCAGGGGCATCCTGCACGCATGGTCCTTATGCGTGCTCTTCTCCACTTGCCACCATGAACGCGACAATTCCTTGAGGGCCAGGGTGTTCTACCTCTCTGACGCTCCCACCTCTCTGGCGCCTTCCAGACGGGCTCAGTGATTTGAAGAGAAATGAGGAAGAGAATTGGTGGAGAAGTGCAGAGAGCCTTGCCAGCCCCTACTCCTGCACCCCTGCCCCACCTACAAATACTGGCTTTTTAAGGGACACCAAAGAACAGAAGCCACTGTCCCTGCCCAGGGGTCCATCAGGAGCCCAGTCCAAGGCAGAAAACAGTTAGCAGAGAGCTGAGAAAAGCATGTCATTGTGCACATGAGTGTGAGGGGCAGGAAGATGCACCTGGTTTATAGGGTCCTGTGGTTGGCCTTAATTGCTTTAAGAGTGCTCCAAAGACATCAAACACTGTGATTACCAGGATGGGCCTTCTTCTCTGCTTCTTATTACCCAGATGCCTGGTGGCCAGTGGAAGGCCATTAACCGCCTGTCTTTGATCCAGGAGGAGTTCTGCCAGCACCCCCTATGTGGCCCCTTCCCCCTCTTCCTGCCCTTGTCAACCCACAGCCACTCTCCAGGGCTTGGTGTCTACAAGCTCCTGGTGACTCCTCTTGTCTGTCTCCTTGTACAGAAATGGAAGCTCCACTCAAGGAGGCGCCGGGAGGCCCCAAAGACATCTCCAGGATGTAACTGCCCACCAGGTAAGGAGCTGCAAACTTTGTTGCAAGGATCAAGTAAGAGTCCTTACGTAAGAACCTTGTCACATTGCCCTGTGCAGCATAAGCCTGCAGAGTTGACTAGGGTCAACTAGTCTCTTACTAGGGGCTTGGTAAGAGTGTGGGTGTTCCTAGAACTGAGACTAGAGGTGCTTCCTGGTGGCCACGCTCTAGCCACACCTCACTCAAGCCATCACTTTTCATTTGAAAGATGTGGATGACAGTATCTGTGGTTGTTTTCCATCTACTCATTGATTGGCCTGCCTGCCCCACATCCATCAGTCCATCCACCAATCATTTGTTCATAGAGTCTTTTATGGGCCTGATACTCTTTGAACCAGGTTGTGGTGAAGTCAGATAAGATGATGGTCATGGCTGTTTTGAAAGTTATCTAGTGCTATGCAGTGTCAAAGGAACCATCGGCCCCCGCACAAGGGGAGGTACCTTGCTTGCTGTGTTCATCATTGTGTCCCCAGCTTCCCAGGTATACAAAAATGTTTGTTACCCAAATGATTGACCCCCTTCTTTTCTTTTCTTTTTTTCTTTCTTTCTTTTCTTTTTTTTTTTTTTTTTTTTTTTTTTTTTTTTTTTTTTTTTTTTTTTTTTTTTTTTTAGACAGATTTTACTGTTGTTGCCCAGGCTGGAGTGCAATGGGGTGATGTCAGCTCACTGCAACCTCTGCCTCCTGGGTTCAAGTGATTCTCCTGCCTCAGCCGCCTGAGTAGCTGGAATTAAAGGCGTGTGCCACCAAACCCGGCTAATTTTGTATTTTTAGTAGAGACAGTTTCTTCATGTTGGTCAGGCTGGTCTTGAACTCCCGACCTCAGGTGATCTGCCCACCTCAGTCTCCCAAAGTGCTGGGATTATAGGCATGAGCCACTGCGCCTGCCCAAGACCTTATTTTCTAGAGCTAGCTGGATTTGGGTGATGTGTGTTCACTATACAGCCTCTAGGCTACCTGCGTACACACACACGCTTACATGCAAGGAATGAAGGCCAAAGGTTTCAAGGTGATGCTGTGTAATACAGTGAACTGGTCTAATCTAGAACAGAAATCTGCTTTGCCACTTACTAGCTGTGTACGGGTGGACCCCTGACCTGCCTATTCTAGCACCTTCTTCTGTATCCTAGGGCCTGCTGCTCAACTGTGTCTATTCATCTGTGTAACAGCTATGTACTGAGGACCTGCTGGGCACCATGAAGTGTGTTGGGTTCAAGTGCATTGTCCGCTGTGAATGCAAATGATTAAGTTACTGCTTATGAGACGTTTTCTAGGTGCCTGTTATTGTTCAGCCATGAGAATGACAGATGAGAAGGTTTCAGTGTTTTCCTGAGGAACTAGAATGGGCTGTACCTCTTTAGGGGTGGGGACGGAAGGTCTAAAAAAGGGTTGGAGGAGACAGGGCAGCACAGTTAAGTAATGGCAGAGTGTTTTGCTCTTCTACGGGCCTCTGCCAGCTCAGCATGTGGCCTCCTCGATACCCATGGTGGCAGGTGGCACTGGCAGGGTGCTCACTGGGCTCTCTGGCAGGCCCTCCTCTGGCCCCAGAAGCTGAGGGGCCCAAGTAACACTTACCCAGGTCCCCAAGCCAGGGAAGAGAGGCCGACAGATGTTAAGCATATGGGAAATGAGGGACTGCATTTGCGGGAGAGTGAATGGGCTGGGGTGGGAGTCTCAGTTCTGGGATGCTGCCGGGGGAGACAGTGAGACCGTGAAAAGATTCAGCTGGACCTGGTGAGAAGAGGGTCGTCTGGGTTAATTAAAAGGGTGTCCAGAAGTCCTGGGAAGCTCCCTCCCTCTCTCTGGGCCCAGAAGATTGGGCCTTGGGGTCTGGGAAAGCTTTCGGGAGAAGAATGCCAAGATTAATGAGATGGGTGGAGGTGAGGGTTGGGTGATGAGGCCCGGGCAGAGAGATGGTTTGCATCGGGGTTTGTGGGGCAGCCCGTGTTTCCGATGACCATATCTGCCGCTCTTATAACTCTTGAGCAATGACAACCAATTTTTGTTCAGCATATAGAATGCCAGTTAAGGGCAGGATATTTGGAGCCACAGAAGGTGTAGGTTCGAATTCCATCTCCAACATGGACCAGACTTATGAACTTCAGAGAGTTTTTTAACCTCCTTATGCCTCAGCTACCTTGTCTGTAAGACAGGGACAATAGATGCCTTGCAGGTCTCTGGTAGAGATTCCATGAGATAATCTAGAAACTGCTTAGCACCGTCTGATTCCTAGTAAGCACGATTATTACTGTTTTCTTAACTGCCTCTCGCACTTCAAAGATGCACAGAAACCCTTATCAAATGTCATGTTCTAGTGTTGGGGGCACATTTGTGGCCAGGCAGAGCCTTGCCTTTCTCCCTTCTCTTCCTTATTGGGGAAGGCACATCAGCTATCTGGTAGCTTTCAAGTGTTCTATCCACCATGAGAGTAGGTGGCTGTCAATAGGTTTCAATATTGTGCTTCAGAAAGTCTGGCTCAGGTAGTCCCTGGGAGGCTGGGAGTCAGGGAGGTATGTGGCAGGAGGGGAAAGGACTTGGAAGAGGGCTTCCTTTCTCCTTGCCTGCTGAGAGTCTGTGTGGAACCCAGGGGTTCTGGGCAGTGAAGAGAAGACCATGAAGTAGCTCAGAGGGTCGGGGGAGGAGGAAACACCATGAGGAGAAGAAAGGACCTGACACTGTTCCTCTGTGGGGAGGGGACAGCGGCAGGGACTGAGTTGGCCAGGCATGGAGGGAGAGTGAGCCGGGGCTCCTCAGAGGGATACCCCTGCATGTTGAGAATTTTTCGGAAGGCTCTTTGGCCCAAAGCATAGTTCAGAGCCAGTGGACAACAGCTGAAGAATTTAAAGAGAAGGTCCCAAACTCAGACAAAATCAGAGGGAACTAAGATGCTCTCCCAGCCTTTTGGAACTGAGGCAGAGAAGGACTGGAATGGCTACATGGAAGCATCTCACGTCATGAAATTACTGCAAATTACATCTCCTAGGATGAGTTGGGTGCTGCTGGGTCCCCCGGCCTCTCTCTGACTCAGCTGAGGCTTCTCATGCCTGGGTACAGTGACATCCTCAACACCAAACCCAACCTATTTTAAATAATAGCAGTTACTGCCACTGTGCCCTAATTGAGCACCTACTATGTGCCAGGCACAGGATTGAGCACTTCATGTGCATCGGTATCCTCCCTCAAAATATTAAAAATAGGTAGAAGGGAGTTCAGTTCTAACACTCTGGAATATTTGAACATCCTTAGATTTGCAAAGAGAACATCACTCTCATTCTTGTCCTTACATCATGCATTTCCGATTATTTCCTGAGGATCGGAATTTATAAACCACTTTAAGGCTCCTGATCCTTGCAGGTGGACTCACACGATTGTCAAGTGCTACACACAAATTCAAAGCTTGATTCACTCTTGTCTTGCCAGCCCCTAATACTGTACCCCATACATAGTAGATGCTCTGTGAATATTCAGTAAAAGCATCAGTAGTCATTGCTGATGACTGGCTTCTTCCTTGTGTTCTCCCTCTGCCGTCTGATTGGTTTCAGACACCTTATCCCCCACCCCACCCCAGATCTTGCCTGATCCTGAATTCACTGCTATTGGGACAAAACAAATAAACACATTCTTCCTCCCTGCTGTGGTCGCTGAGATGGAAGCCTAGATCCTCAAACCCATGCCTGCCCTCTGCGGCCAGCTAGACTGAGTCCTGCGGTGGGTGTGTTCTTCCTGTGGCAGTCTTGGGCCCCTGGGCGGCACCCAAAAGGCTTGGGACGCATAATCATGGGCAGAAAATCTGCCTCTTTCCCTTTCTATCTGACCTTGCCAGCATCCTCCTGGGATCCTCCCTGTCCCAAAATAGCCATCTACTGGCTAAGATCTGGCTGCATCCTGCTTCTGGGCTGCATGCGCTGTTTGCCAAGGGAGCAATGGGCTTGGAGGCTTGAGAAGGATGCCAAAGGTCAACCCTCAATTAGGAGGGTCATGGCTGCCAGAAGTTCAGAGGAATAGGTGTGGGCCATTTGCAAAGCATATGGCCTGGTGGGATGGGAGAAGAGCCTTGGGAACAGATATACATACCGTGAGACTTCCTAGGCCACGTGAGAAAAATACAAAGACTAGGGAAACTTTCCCATTCTCGGTCCCTTTTCTCATTAACAAATGGGGAGCAGGACATTATAGGTTCTAGCCAGCAAGGAAGCAGCTACTTCAGGCCTGCTATGCTGGGGCTGGGTGGGGCTGCCCTGTGTCAAGTCCAGGGAGGGGCAGGCAGTGTGAAGGATGACACATTTTTGCACCCAGAGGGAAGAATGGCCAGCTCAGCTGCTGGAGGAAATCACTTCACTGTCTGAGCCTCATCTCCAAGGGAAAGGGTAGGCCAGAGTCATGCCCTGATTGCCAGGCCAAAGGGCTTGGACTGTAGCAGTGGCATGGGGGTGATGTGGTCAGGCTTGCGCACTAGCGCCATGACTGTACTGCAGAGAGGATGGATGAAAATGGAGAAGTCACCTTCAGCCAGTCTAATGCGAGAGGGTCCCCCGCCCGCCCTCTCTCTGACTCAGCTGAGGCTTCTCATGCCTTGGTATGGTAACCTCAACACCAAACCCAACCTATTTTAAATAATAGCAGTTACTGCCACTGTGTCCTAATTGAGCACCCACTGTGTGCCAGGCATGGGACTGAGCACTTCATGTGCATGGGTAACCTCAAAATACTAAAAATAAGTAGATGGGAATTCAGTTCTAATTCTCTGGAATGTTTGAATACCCTCAGATTCCTAGCCGTCTTCTGGGTCAGTGAGTGGTGAGGGGGTGCATGTGAAGTACCCAGGAGCCAAAGAAGCTGGGGGCTCTGGGAAAACTTCACGAAGGAGTGGCCCTGGAGTTTGTTCCTAAGGAACAAAGAAGCAGGTAGGAAGGCATATCGTTAGGGTGTCATAGACTCCATAGGGTGTCCACATAGACACCATAAAAAGAGACCTCCCAAATAC